TTTTTGCAGCCTAAATTATTTACGATTTAGGCTGTCTAAAATAATTTAGCCATTTAAATTTACGACAAGAGTAAAATAATTTAGACACCCATGTATATTGATCCTATTCTTTAGGGGTTATTTGAATTAAATTCGGATCTTCTTTCGCATATTCAAATCCGAGTAATCCGAATTAAATTAGTAATTTGAATTGACCTTAATCCAATGTTTCGTTTCACTTAAAAAAACAAAAGCAGATAGGATGCTAGCCCATTTGCTCGATTGAAATCCAACAATTTATTATCTGGAGCAGAGCAGGGGATGAGCAAGAAAAGATTTCAAATGTGTTTCAAGAAGAATAGGATGAGATAAATATAGGTATGCGATTCCAAATTATTACTATCATTAAATCGACCAGAATAAAAGTGAAGCAGTGCTTCGTAGCCCAATAATTCTCGTTTTTTCTAGTTGTTAAACGATCTTAATACACCACTCACAACTAAATAAATAAATTAGAGCATAGTGTAATGGTTAACATTAATATTCACATTGGCCAATCAGAACCATGACAATAGATAATATAGTATACCTTTTCGGATTAAGGTTCTAATCGGATTGCGGATCGAAATACTAGTACGTATTAAGTTACCGATTAGTTTTTTTGAACTATTGCATAATATATAAAATTTTAACAAACTATTTATTCAATTACCATTAAACTTGAAAATAAATTTATCATGATGTTAAGATTCTACTTGATATATTTTAACTATAAAATAATACTACCTTTAAAGTTTTGTGTTTTATATTTCACTTATAGAAGAGTAAAAAATGGTTGATTTACAAGTCACGAACTACAATATTCAGTAAATATTCATTAGATATTCGAGTTGTTCTGATGAATACCTGATAAACATTAAACAAATGAGTATTCGAATACGATTTTTCTAGCCGGGCTCAGATCGCCTGTGCTTTGATCGAATGTCCCATAAAGAAAAGCTAAAATTTGTCTTAATATTTAGAAATTCATCAACCTTATTCTAACAGGACTGAGTGAAACCCGCGTTGTAAATTAGTAAAATCCGCTACGTAGATCACGTTAGGATGAAATCCGCGCTTAGCTATGTTTTTTATTATGCAAAGGCGAATTTCACCCTCATGTGATCTACATAGCGGATTTTACTAATTCACAGTGCGGGTTTCACCCTGTCGTATCATAACTTATTTATTTCTTTATATAAAGTCATCCATTCCATCACTTAGGATATACCAGTCACCCAACCATTACCTTATTATTTTACAACTGCTAATGTGTTGAATATTGATAAAGACAAATAATCGTTTGACAAAAAAAATTTTACTGACATCTATATATTCTGATCTATCATTATTTTATAATTTGAAGTATTTTATTATCAATAACACTAATTTAAAAAAAAAAACACAAAAGTTACAAAATTTACTAATCATAGTTTGAATATTGATAAATCACAATTCTTTTCTAAACAAATAATCAATCTCTCTAATTAAACCATCAACGAATGCCTGGTCTGTGCATTTAAGTTCAATGCGAACTCCTGTATTTTGAGCGCTGCCAGGTATATCAATTTCTTCTACCACTAAATTTTTTTCAACAGTTAATTTTGCTAACCCAGCAACTTGATATCCTTGTACACTCCTACCATACATTGTTATAGCACCTGGGATTTGCTCAACAATATGTGTTCCAGTTGCCATTGATATTAATCGTATCACATCGTTTTGGAAAGATTGTTCAATTAAATTAGTTGAAGCATCTAGGCGTATAGACGTTGATCCAGTAAATGGAAAGTCTGCTGTTTTGGAAACACACGACTTAAACTCTTCTGGCGATATTTTTGGAATGTTTAGCATGAATACTGCCATAGGTAACTCAAATCTTATAGGTATATCAGAATTTGTCTTTGTTTCTTCATCCGACTATATATTGCAAATTTGATAATATTGGTTAAGTCACATTAAAATAGTAAATTAAATATTGAATCTGACAATGTAATATGAATATATTTCTTTTACCTGTATTTCGTACGTAATGTTCCCAGAAACACTTAAACCCGCGCCAACAATTCCCATGACTTTAAATTCTATAGTCACGCTTTTCTGTTCGTCATGTTGTAATTCACCTATTTCTATTAATGCTTTGTCAAATTGTATGTCTGATGTTGATTCAAAAGCAAATGCCAATTTAGAAAGGGGATATTTGTATGAACAATTATTGCGAACAGTGAAATCCGCAACCATTATAGGAGGTTCATTTTTGACTTCTGTAGAAGAACCTAATCTTAACGTATAAAGCTTTGGTTGTTTACCCATTAAAAATGTTAGTACGTTTGCAATTCAATAAATGATATAAATAATATAATAAAATGAACATACAACTTGAATATCGTCTGAATCCACCAATTTGATTGGGACAGTGCTAATTAGATGCGGTTCTACAACTACATTATTATGTTCTGATGTGGCACCATCAGATGTTAAATTCTTCTTCTTTGGTTTCTAAATAAAATCTGTTAATTTATATCTTTGAATAACAATTCGCGAGTACACACATACCTTTCCTTTGTCCTTCTTTCCTTTTTTCTTTCGATCATCAGTCTCTTCGACTCGTTTTTTCTTGGGTGCCTTCTTGGATTTAGAAGATTGTTCACCATGATTTTCTGCACTTTTTGCTTTTGGTGTAACCTCCAAAGAGACTTTCGTCTTTTGTTTCTCGTCCTAAGGGAGAAAAATAATTTCGGCATCACATTATTGAGGATTGTCAGGATGTCAATTTAATATTTGGGTTCATACAACATTAAAATATTAGAAGTGGCCCAACTTCCCCTATTCTATAAACAAATTCTTATAACTTTATCGAAAATTTTCAAAATCCAGTCTGCTTGTTGTGTGAACCAGAATTATAATTTCGCATGACTTTGTATACAACAAACCTTGTTTTTTTTAGTCCGAGATGTACTTTCTTGTACTTGCTTGATTCGTCTTTCTTCAATTCTTCGTCTTATCCTTTCCTCTTCTCGCCTTCGAACCTCCTCGGGTGCAAGATAAACTGCAGCCTGTGGAAATTTCTCATCTTTTCCTAATGGTGTTGACAGGTCTACATTTGATACACCAGAAAAATCTACATCCAAAATACCAGTTTTGCTTGATATTGTATTCCAAGGATTATTATTATAGCTGGTCTTTGTAGTATCCTTTTCTTCATCAGATATAGTAGCATTCTCTGGCATCTCACCAATGTCAGTATAAATAACCGGTGGGGCAAGTGGCGGTGAATGTCGGTCTTCTTTTTTCGATGCTTTAGATTTTTTAGATTTTTTTTTATCTCCTGAAAAAGATTAAACGATTATTTTTTTTGCCATTGACATTAAAAGTAATGTGAATGAGACTATTGTAATCATTACTTTTAAAGTTAAATTCATCCATTGTTAAACGAACTACTGGTATAGAATCCACGTCAATTTCTTCTGAATTTTTCAATAGATCTTTTCCTGTACTACTAATGTAAAATGGATCATTCTTGATACGCTCAATACGTTCTTTACGACGCTAAAGTTCATATTATATGCCACGGATTAACGTAATAGTAATTAATGAAAACAACTAAAGTATCCAGTAAACTGAATACTAATTAACAAAAGGAATAGATTTACTTGTTACCTTTTCCTTAATTTCCTCATCTTCTTCACTGTCATACTTTTTTTTACTTGATTTTCTACCGCGACGCCTTCCAATTGCTGTACCACTACCACTAGAAAATATCAAATCACCACTCCCACCAAACTTTTGAGTATATCCATACCCATAACTTTCTTCCTCCTCTTCACTCTCATTGTTTTCTGATTCAGGTAACGGTTCATTAATCCATGCATCTAAGTCTAATCCATCAGGAACAGGCACCTTTTTTTGTGCTTTAGGAGCCACGGGGTTAAGCTCATAAGAAAAAAAAAGCGAATAAAGTTCAGGGATGACGTCAGGAGATTTATTGGTTGAGGCATATATATCATTTTTAATATCAAACGAATTTTCTGGTGTCATAGTCAAATTTTGATGGATTATTGAAAATATCTCCCGTGCATTGTACGCCTATTGAGATAATAAAAAAAAATATATAAAAATATAAACGATCATAATAAACATTATACGCGCCTAAACTTGAATATTGTAAGTCATTACCCTCTCCTGAACTTCCAAATCGGTACTAGAACAAAATATTGAGATTTTATCTTTTATCATTTCTGTAAACCGCAATAATTCCTGTTTTGAATCCTCATCCCAGTTATAAGTCAAACCGTTTGCCCACTGTGCATATATTTTCAAAATAGTTTGAATATAAACAGCTTGAACATTATGCGAAAGCTTTGTGACACCAGGCTGAATAAGATATCCAATGGTATCAGTTGGCGTTTCCAGGTAACTGAGATCGTAAGAACCGAATAAGCAACATTCGAATAACAATTCATTAAGATGAACATAAGAATGAACCTGCAATATTCTCCCGTTATCCAAGCAGCAGCATAAAGCACTTCAGTATTAGATTCTGAAAATTTAGAATTTTCCAAAAGACTAGAATCCGAGAGCAACCTTTGCTGTATTATAATTAATAAGTAAGTCTTAATTTTTACAAAATTTAAAGAAAATTTTAACAGCATACCATTGCTTTTACACAATATTGCCGTACACTCTTGACACGAACACCAACATCCATTATTTGTGTTGTTAGTAGTTCACCAACATTAACACCAGCTACATGAGTAAGATCTACCAAGACTGCAATATACCATTCAAAATTTGACTATGACACCAGAAAATTCGTTT